GTGCGTGTGTGTGTGTGTGTGTGTGTGTGTGTGTGTGTGTGTGTGTGTGCATGTGTGATCTTGGAAGGCAGATAGATAAGGGCCTGAGAATGACCTTAAAAGGAAGGAGAGCTGTGGACTAGCATTCTCACATTTAATGTACACATGAAAAACTTGTGCATTAATTGCTGTAACAGTTATTTAAACACACCAAGCTGGAATGCGTTGAGGTTGCTATTAGTACAGTTTCCCTATTCTGAATGAAAATTGGGGTTGTTCACATCTGTAGGCAATGTGTCAGTGTGAGCATGCACGCCTGCACACATCACACATATCTTAGCTGCACAGAACATAATAATCCTTGAGCAAAGTACGCATGCATTTTTATTTATATCTTTATGTGTGAGAAACAGAAGTAATATCAGTGAGCTCATTTAGCACAAAGGCGCAAGCTGCATGGAAACTGATAATGAGTTTGCGTGAGAAAGCAGCAGGCAACAGCACAGTTGTCAGTTGCTTAGTATTAGCCTGAAAAGGCAATAAACCAGTAAGATGATACCCCGTAAGATTTTATGCAACACATTAGGTTGTCTGTGAGTATTGTTGTTTTAGTAGGTTAACTTTAAAAGCAAAAACATGCTAAAGGCAACAGTCAGCTAGGTTACTTCTGGGAAAGATGCAGTCACTTTTCAGCCAAGTCCTAACAAATGTCTGTTTTGTCCTATAATTATAGTTAAAACTGAGGGCAGTTTCACTTCTGCATAATCTGAAGTGTTAGCCCATATTTAGGCCTGAAATAGATTTTAAGCATGCAGCTGCTATAGGTACTGTGTGGAAGATTAAAGCCTCGATTACACCGTGAGTACTCCATCCGTGTCCATGTTTGCAGCATGGAGTATAATCAAGGAAAAGTGAGATCCCAGAAGTGCAGTTTTAAGGAACTGATCTGTGAATGCAGTTTATCTGATGGCAACACAATAAAGAACATTTTGTATCACATCATTTTATATCTCTGTACAGCTGTGGGAGTTTCCTCGGTGATTGCAAAGTGAATATATTATACTGTTTTAATATTCTACAGAAAAATAATGTCAAATATTGGTCATAAATTGCACACATTTATAGTAGAGTTGAAACACTTTACTGGGTTTCATATTAAAATTGATGA